TTTTATAAAGAAAATTACGCTGAATTTAAACATTTATTTTTAAAAATCATATACGGTAATAATTATATGTGATTTTTAAAAATAAATACAAGTAATTTATATTACACGCTAGGAGCAAGCCCCTGTGACATAACCCACATATGTGTAAAAGAAGTTAAAACTTTTCAAGGTTTTTTTTATTTTTGTTTGTTTTTTCATTCTAATTTGAAAAATAAAAGTAATCCTCTGACTGTTAAATGTTCTGAATGTAAGAAAAATTAGGACTTGGATGATACAACTTTTTCTATATCGATATGTATCACGATATTTGAGCCACGATACGATATGTATCACATGTTTAATTGCTTATAAAATCTTTTTTTGCATTGAAATAAACAAATTATTTCTTTGCAAATGAGAATATTTTATTCAAAATAGTTGTTTATATGTTGTAAAACAAAAATATTTTACTCAAGTGGTGTTAATTATTATATTTCATATCTATATATATATTTAAGTTATTTATTTTATATATTAAACCCCAAATGTTAAATAAACAAAGAAAAACAGAAGTCAGATTTTGGGGCAATATTTCGATATTTTTTCAAATGTAACGATATGTGTATCGTCCTCACATATATCACGATATATCGATATCTCGATATATCATCCCAGCCCTAAGAAAAATCTTTGCTATGCCCAAAATTAAGATTTTTACAATGAACAATTTACTTCTGTACAAATAAATTAATATGTTTTACTTTTATGCTGTGACTGTATGGGCGATCGCAGATTCACACAGCTGAGTAAAACTTGCAACTTTGATTTGACCATGTAAACTTCAAACTGCATGAGACACATGCAGTCTAAATTTTGATGCACTGTATGTACTGTCACATGACAAGAACCAGTATTGTCCCTGGATATTACAGTGCTGGCTGATGTGGCTCGGTAAAGGCATTATATATTTTTAATATTTTTCTCAATGACATTTATTTCATTGAAACATATTTCATTGAAATTCATTGAGAAATTTATCAAAAATATATGAAAAATAAGTGTATAAGACAGAAACTGCAATAATCTAAATGACTCTAGAGTTCAGAATTCAAGTTCTAGTTTATTATTTTACAATTTATTTACACTTGATTTGACAGTGACCATTAAAACTACATGTAAACGGTTAATGTACATTTTTTTAGGCCTACCACCAACAGACCCAGAAGGCAATGTTGTAAGTATGATAAATCTTCCTTAAATCATGCTTGTATCTGTGCATTAATTCTTGCAGTAGTTCACCTAATTTTAATTGTTTTTATTATTTTTTCTGCTTAAATGTACATAATTTAGGTCATTCCCAGTATGCACGTCTAACAAATTCTGTCAAACTTATCCTTTGTCTTGTAGGTTGAGGATGAATTTGGAAAAGGTAAGAATTTTCAAGGCCAAGTACATTAATAGTAAATCATGTTAATTGTAATAGGGTACTGTACGTTTGTCATAGCTTGAGAGTTCTGTGCAACTTAATGCTGAATGAAAGTATTTTTTATTTAAAAATATTTCACATTAAAAAAAATTATCTACAAGTAAAATGTGACAATAATTAACACCTTATGATAAGCAGGGTTCTCCATGAGCTGTTTTACTGTGTTGCTCCCGACACAGTAAATTTTTTTCTCCGACACAGTAGCGATTCAAATTTTGTGTGTGACACAGTAAAAATTTTGCCGACACAGTGATATCTGTGATAATTAGAAAATCCAAACATTTAAATTCTCTCTAACTGAAATTTTAATCAATCAACTCTACCGTCTTTCAATTCTAAAAGATAGAGCACTTAATTACTAGGGCTTCACCTTGCATAATCAATTATCTCCTATACCCTTGCCGGACTTTACGCGTGAAGGAACAAAGACAAATAATTTGTTTTCACACTTTTGGTTCCATGTAACGGTTAATTGGTAGTTGCATTAAAATAGATTGAATTATTAAAAAAAATAAATATGTCTTTTCTATAGAGCCACGGCTGTAGAATTATGTTAGCACTGTAAGTCAAACATTACGTCGTAGATCGTATTGATGTATATAAATAAAATTTTCAACATGTTCAAAGAACTCCTAAAAGAATTTTACTTTTCTGAAGATTCTTTTTTTTGTAATTTGGTAATTGGATCAAGAAAACTGACAAACAATTATGACAAATTTACTTTAAAAAATGTTTTTATATGTTTTTACTTTAATCAATATGTACGACCATACCATTTGTGTAACAAATTAGCGATTTTTTAAAAAAGTGTGTGCATGTATTCTTTTGTAATAACCTGGTATAATGAATAGTGATTCAGTTGCGAATTTGATCGTGAAAATACCACAAAATTTTAGTGCTTCACCTAATCTCTGCAACACCGTAATATTCTAAATGATGGAGAACCCTGGATAAGACTTTGTTCTATAATATAGTAATCATCTACCATGTAACACATCTTGTTTGCTGCAGGTTTCTCCATTCGAAGAAGTGTTGCCACCTTTAAAATCAAGAAACAGGTATATTTCTTAAACATAATTATTAACCATATGTAACATGCTATCTGTTCCATTGAGTCATTATTAGCCATTTAGAATGAATCAGTCCGTACACTTGATGAATCAGATTTTACACTTGATGAATCAGATTAACAATGAACCAGACTTTAAACTAGTTGAATTACACTTGTTGATACACTTGATGAATCAGACTTTACATTTGTTGAATCAGACTTTACACCTGTTAATTTACACTTGATGAATCACAATTTACAGTTGTAGAATCAGTTTTTACACTTGTTGAATCATACTTTACACTTGGTGAACAAGATTTTACACTTATTGACATTACACTTGTCGAATAAGACTTTACACTTGTTGAACCAGACTTAACACTTGTTGACATAATACTAGATGAATCAGACATTACACTAGATAAATGATAAATCAGTCTTTACATTAGATGAATCAGACTTTACACTTGTTGACATTACACTTTTACACTTGCTGTATTCTGATAACAGGAGATGAATCAGACTTTACACTTGTTGAACCAGACTTCACACTTATTGACATTACACTTTTACACTTGCTGTATTCTGATAACAGGAGATGAATTAGACTTTACACTTGCTGAATCAGACTTCACACTTGTTGACATTACACTTTTACACTTGCTGTATTCTGATAACAGGAGATGAATTAGACTTTACACTTGCTGAATCAGACTTTACACTTGTTAACATTACACTTTACTGTTTTCTGATAACAGGAGATGGAGGAGCCCTCCAGGAAGAAGCTGCTCCCTGAGCCCCTCCAGCCCCCCTTTGTCCAGCCCCCCTATACACTGGTCATGGAGATCACCGGGATCCTGGTCAAGCCGGAGTGGACGGTAAACACTGACTTATACAAGTAACATGTGTCTTTATAAATAGAGGGTACCTGCTCATAACAAACCGGAGTGGACGGTAAACTCTGACTCATACAAGTAACATGTGTCTACGTAAGTAGAGGGCACCTGCTTATAACAAAACCTTTAGTTTGTCAAGCCAGAGTGGACGGTAAGCTCTATCTCATACAAGTAACATGTGTCTACATAAATACAGGGCACCTGCTCATAACAAACCAGAGTGGTCGGTAAGCTCTATCTCATACCGGTACAAGTAACGTGTCTACATAGATAGAGAGCACCTGCTTATAACAAACCGGAGTGGACGGTAAACTCTATCTCATACCGGTACAAGTAACGTGTCTACATAGATAGAGAGCACCTGCTTATAACAAACCGGAGTGGACGGTAAACTCTATCTCATACCGGTACAAGTAACGTGTCTACATAGATAGAGGGCACCTGCTTATAACAAACCTTTAGTTTGTCTAGCCAATAAGAATGGTCAACTCTGACTCATACAAACAAATATGTGTCGACATTTTATATAGAGGGCACCTGCTCATAACAAATTTTCAGATTTTTAAGCTAGAGTAGACTTACTGTACATTCCAGCTTAAAAAACTGAAGGTCCAGATTTTAAAATTTCTAAAATGTTATGTTGATGAGCATGTCTTGAAAGTTCTCTCTCTTCTGAATGGTTGGCTTTCCACTTACAGATTAAGAATGGATGGAGGTTTAAGAAGAGACCCGGGGTGGATTATTTCCTCCAGGCCGTCGGGCCACCTCTGTTTGAGACTGTCGTGTACACCTCAGAGACTGGCATGGTAAAAGCTGATTGTAAAAGTATTAATGAATGAATAATGTACACAGCGGTAAAACGTTAACTTATGGATAGTTTACAAAGTGGTAAAAGCATTAATTTATGCATAGCTTTCACAGTGGTAAACTATTTCCTAAATTGAAGTCTATGATATTTTTCAGAATGCTGTTCCTGTGATTCACAGCCTTGATCAACAAGGACATGTCATGTACAAGTTATACAGAGACGCCACGTGGTATGACGGCAAAGATCACGTCAAAGTGAGTATAACCTTGATCAAAGACACATGTACAAATTAAAATATCACGTCATAGTCATAAAACTCTCTGAAAAATCAAGCATTTGAGGCATATTATTGATTGAAGATATAAATGAATTTTTTTTCAGGATTTGTCCTATTTAAACAGAGACCTAAACAAAGTTATAATGATTGACTGTAAGTCGAAGTCAGTGAAGCTGCAGAGGAACAACGCGTTTGTTCTGAAAGAGTGGGACGGAGACGAGAATGACACTGCACTGTTTGATCTGGCTTCTTTTCTACAAAGTAGGTTATCTGTGAGATAGTGAGAGAAGGGGGGGGGGGAGGCGCCACCTAAAGCTAGCATTATTTCTACCAGAAAACGATTTTAAAAACTGGAATTTACTCTATCCCTTTTCATTCTATACAGTGTAATAAATTTCATTGTTCATAATATACTGTATACAGGGAAACTATCGCCCCCTTTTGTTTTTGCCCTAGTTACAGATGGGCAAGTTTAAAAATAACACAGTGTAATTTTTTTAACAAAACTGTGGCAGGGCAAAATCAAAAGAAGGCAAAATCGTTTGCAAGTGTGAAAGGGCTAAAATAACCCTGTTTACAGTAGCTTATGAATAAAATAATGGTATTCTAAACTTATACAAAGAATATTTGTCAGAAATTAACAATCCATTTTAATAGTCTTTCTTTTATCACCTGCTTTGTTAATGTTATTTCGCTGTATATGTCATTTAGAGGAATTCAAGCTTTTGGTGATATGAAAGCCTTCTTAAAAACGAAAATGATTATAATCTTTTTTCCAGCTCTGGCACACAGTAAGATCGAGGATGTTCGTACAGTTTTAGAATACTACATGCAGTTTGATGACCCTATTGCCAAATTTAGAGAAAATCAGTTACTCCTTCAGGTTAGCTCTTTATCTAACTGCTTCCATAGAATATAGGAACATGTAGTTTAGGGATCTAGATGGAATTCAGTACACTATAAAAGAAAAGTGACATTTTATTAACTACCTAATAATTGACATGTGCATTTATAATTGATGTGTTAAAGTTGTTATCAATTTGCTTTATTTTGTAGGAAGAGCAGGAAAGACAAAGACAAGAACAGGAGAAGCCAAAACAGAAATCACCGTTTGATTTTGCCAAGTCATTTAGAAAGAGATAGCTATAGAACAAATGGTTGAATGATTGAAATAACTGAATGTAACATACATATAGAGTGCTCTTTCATCATTGTGACATGTAAAGATATGAGTGAAAACTGCATCAGATGCATGTCAAGTATCATACAGATTTGTTCACTCTAGATTGAAATGAAATGAGGAACAATACATGTACTGCCACTGTGAGGTGATGAGACTGTCAATAAAATTGTTTTTATGCTGTGTAGATTATTCTTGATGTATTTATCTCTAAGTGGGCCTAACTTCAGGACACAGATTGGTAAAGAGTACATGTACTTATGTTTTGAACATATAATGAACAATTTTATTTTGAGGAGAGTTTGTAAATGTAAAGTTTTCTCAGTGGTGAAACTTGTATGAATTCACTTTCATCTAAAGAATTATGAAAGTTTTTCTTCCCCTTTGGGGATTTTCGATTTTGGTCTGTCATTACCCCCCTATATACATGTTTTAGATTCTGATGATATGCAGGACAGTTGTTAGAGCGTCTGATTTAGAGTAGCGAAGTAAGGTGTTGATCTGTTCGTCTCAGGTTTGAATCCAAATTGTGGAGACTGTCCTTCAGATGAGACCGTATTAACCAAGGCCCAGTGTGCCACAGTACTGGTAGGTGCTGGCACGAAAAAGATCCTCACTGCTCAATGGCCCTAAGTGCCGATTATAGACAACATTTGCAGCTTTCCACCTGCAAGTGGTGGTGTTTCCATATGAATGAAATATTCTTGAGAGGGATGTTAAACAACAAATAAAAAACAATACATGTATCTTTAAAAGGTCTTAAGCTTTTGCAGTGAAACTTGAGAAGCCTGTATTACATAAAGAATAGTTTAAATTCAACTGAACAGAAACAGACTCCAATGACATTGTAACTTTGCTTCTGCATGAAACAAGGGAGCAGTTGACAAATTTTTCTTACTTCCACTGTTTTATGTATTTATTTAAAAGGACAAACTATTGACAAAAAAGTTGATAACATCTTTGAAGTCAACATTTCACAAAATCTGAGGTTAATATGATGACCTTGTTTGCAAAATACTAACTGCAAAATTATGTCAATACATTTAATGTTTTGACACATCTTCCATTCAAATTCTTAGGTCATCATATTTATTAAATTGTCCACCTACAGATTTTTTTCATTTATGGTGACCCGTCCATGTGGGATGGTTTCTCCTTTATGGCACCTAATCCCATCGCCATTTCATGAAAGTCAGGTTTGCTCTGCTCACAATTTAATTTTGTTATTTGAGCATCCTTGCTGTTTGTTATATTCACATTTCACACAAATGGAAAAAAAGAGATCAGTCTTTTTAAAAGCTCAAAAATCTATTTTAACAGTACAAAATTGTGAGCAAAGCATACATTGCCCACTTAAAACGGAGGTGGGATTTGGTGCCATGAAGGAGTAAGCATCCCTTGACTTTATGACAAGATGCATGTTTGTTCACTGTTGAAGAAGCCTAGTGTCCATCATCAACATGTTATGAAAACATGAGTCTAAGTCGCATATAATACTGTAAAATCACATATTTTCAAGGGATCAAATTATCCTGGTCTGAAAAAAATAAATTGGTTCATGGGGATTTGATTTCGTGGTTGAAGAATTGTTCAGGAGTAATATATGTGAAAAATTGCATTTCCTGATGGACTTAAATTTGTAGGTCTCTATATACCTTGAAAACCAAAAAAATTAACCCAAGGAAATTACCAGGATAAGTGATTTCCGGTATATGTAAAACAAAAATACTTGATGTTTATTCTATTAAAATGCTAATTATCAGTTAATGAGATCTGAATAAGCATAAGATGATTTGATAGAAAATTCCAAGTTTGTTCATTTTTGATGCTGTTCTTCCCAATTAAATTTTTAAGATTTGAGCCTTTTTTTTCAAATTGGGACTTCATGAAAGAGAAATCCAACAACTTTGTATTTATTACACAAGAATATTTAAGTGACATTTATGTTATAGATGTGAAAACATTGGTACTTCACAAATCAATGATTTAAACTATATGAACAATGTTTATTCCAACACATGTATAACTGGTCCAATTTTTGGTATATCAAATTCAGTGGGGCAGACAAAAAACATCTTTGTATGAAATGTATAAGTATAAATTTAAAAAATATTTACTTTACTTCAAATGAAAGTAAGCACCATTCATGGACTCGCTGTCATACGTCACCTGTATACTAGTATGACATAACATCAGTGTTTGAGATACCATATACGAGGGTTGATCCAAAAGTAATGTCACAACTTCAATAAAATTGCTACCAGTCGACGTAAAACAGCAAAATTTTAAATGTTGGAAGCTACATGTACATTTATTTCAGATCAGACCTGAAAATTTTAATTCGACAGGATTTATACTTTTTAAAATATCGGAGTATATACAACGTGCAATTATGGTACCTAAATAACGTCATATGATGGATTAAATGCTTCTTTTCCTTTCATTAAAAATAATATGAAATTCATAAACACTTTCATAAATTTCACTTTCTTTTAGAATACTTGGTACCCATCGTACAATTACTGTTTTCATAATAAATTCCTATGTCAAAATTCATTGAACAAGAGCATAAGACAAACTTAAAATTTCACATATCGCTCTAACTGTCCGTCTTTTTTGACAACGTCTCACACCATCGAACGTTTCTGCCTGTCCCCCCATCTTTCGGTCTTCTTGTCATCTGCAGAGCATTCAATGACCCATCAAACACCCAAAATCGCTGAAACCATCTAAACAAGTCTAGATCTATTATTTACATTCTGTCCTCTGTGAGTCTGGTGAATCAACGTAACTATCTCTACTGGCGATTTACACACTTAAAAGCAAAAATGCATTGCAGTTTCTTGTGGCGTTTTTCTTTCCATTCTGACACTTCCATTGTTCAATGCATCATAGTAAAATAACAATGTTTATGAAAAAAAGCGATGGTGCCATTTAATTTTCAACTCAAGACTACAAAAATAATGTAAATCATTTCTTTTAAAATATTGGTCGATTGGGTGCTTTTTAAAGTTGCTTTTTAATGTGTAAGTATTTTTTATTCTAAAAAAGTACACTTTAATCCGTGACGTTTACATGTGACGCGGCGAGACCCCTATGGTCTATATGTTTTAAAATCGCTATAAAATAAATTCAATTAAACATTATTGAATGAAAAATTCAATTTTAATCAGATTTAAAAATGTGCATCTTTTGGTACATGATATTCGATCATATGACGCCAAATATAAAAGATATGGAATCTGTGACATTACTTTTGGATCAACCCTCGTACCTCGGCTGTATTTATGACAAACAGTCAAACTATGCTTTTGTATGACAGTTTGTGGACAACATAAATAAATACAATTTGGACAGTAGAATAAAGTTAATTTTCCTCTTTTCTTTGCATTTTTTTCATTTTAAATTGTGTTTTAAATGATTCATGTATCAAACTGGCAGATGAATTCTACGAGTCTCTCTAGGGCTTTGTTGTTCATATCACAAGTATACATCCCCTTGTTTGTGAGGAAGGCAATGTCCACTATAGCATAGAGATCTCTGAATTTATCCCCATACAGAAGTTTTTCTGAGGTTTGCGGGGGCAGGGCGTGAAGTTCTTTATGATGGATCACTGCTACCATCACTGATTTGGAACCTGTCAAGAAAAGTGAAAATGTATTAGGAAATTAAACTGCAAATCTATTGCATTTTAAACTAAAGCTATTACTTCTTTTGAAAATTTTGAATTCAATTTGATAATGTATACAGTTTATTTCATGATCTTTCTGTCAATTTTTCCTTGAAATTAAAATTGTCCAGTGACTCACATGAAATGTCTTAGAATTATAAACTTCATAGAAATTCAATCTTAAAAAACCCTATCATATATTAAATCTCAACTTTGTTTTACAGTGGACATTTATAGGGAATCAAAACACAGCTGTGATGTCTGAAGCTTTAAAGCCACACTTACTGTTGACTTTGTTTTACAGTGTATGTATACAACGCTTTAAAGCCACACTTACTGTTGACTTTGTTTTACAGTGTACGCATACAATGCTTTAAAGCCACACTTACTGTTGACTTTGTTTTACAGTGTATGTATACAAAGCTTTAAAGCCACACTTACTGTTGACTTTGTTTTACAGTGTACGCATACAATGCTTTAAAGCCACACTTACTGTTGACTTTGTTTTACAGTGTACAGGTGTACGCATACAATGCTTTAAAGCCACACTTACTGTTGACTTTGTTTTACAGTGTATGTATACAATGCTTTAAAGCCACACTTACTGTTGACTTTGTTTTACAATGTATGCATACAATGCTTTAAAGCCACACTTACTGTTGACTTTGTTTTACAGTGTATGTATACAATGCTTTAAAGCCACACTTACTGTTGACTTTGTTTTACAGTGTACCCATACAATGCTTTAAAGCCACACTTACTGTTGACTTTGTTTTACAATGTATGCATACAATGCTTTAAAGCCACACTTACTGTTGACTTTGTTTTACAGTGTATGTATACAATGCTTTAAAGCCACACTTACTGTTGACTTTGTTTTACAATGCTTTAAAGCCACACTTACTGTTGACTTTGTTTTACAGTGTATGTATACAATGCTTTAAAGCCACACTTACTGTTGACTTTGTTTTACAGTGTACGCATACAATGCTTTATAACTCACACTTACAGTATACACTTATTTCATGTCTACGAGGGAAACAGTCAAACTGTTGTCCCAAGGTAATGGCAGGTGGCCTCGGGCAACAATTTCTCAGGTCTTCCCCATTATCAAGGAACAACAGTTGTGATGTCTGAAGCTTTAAAGCCACACTTACTGTTGACTTTGTTTTACAGTGTATGTATACAATGCTTTAAAGCCACACTTACTGTTGACTTTGTTTTACAGTGTACCCATACAATGCTTTAAAGCCACACTTACTGTTGACTTTGTTTTACAATGTATGCATACAATGCTTTAAAGCCACACTTACTGTTGACTTTGTTTTACAGTGTATGTATACAATGCTTTAAAGCCACACTTACTGTTGACTTTGTTTTACAATGCTTTAAAGCCACACTTACTGTTGACTTTGTTTTACAATGCTTTAAAGCCACACTTACTGTTGACTTTGTTTTACAGTGTATGTATACAATGCTTTAAAGCCACACTTACTGTTGAC